GAAGAAAAGTTGATTTAATGCTGTTTTCAATGTTTTCCTTTTCTTTTTCTTTATATTACCGCTTCAGATGTTTAACAGTAGTAAAGTGATGCAAAGGTACTGCCATAGTATACTCAGATCTGAATTGGTCTTCTTGTTCCGGTATTGTTGGTATTTTTGTTCTTGTTGGTGGCGGTGTTCTTCAGTTAGAACTGTCAATTTATCTATTCATTTTCTTCTTTATTTTTTTTTTTTTTACTTGTCCAATCAACTAAAAGTTGTATTTCTATGCCTCATAACACAAAGAGGAAGTTTTATTTGAAACAAACTATAAAATAGCAGCAGTCTATAAATTATTATAATTTTTAGGAAAGAAAAAAAACTGCGAAAGAGATTTGAGAAGAACAACAGAAAAAACAAAAGAAAAAAAGATATGTTTTAGTAAGTAGACAAGAAATAAATTAAAATTCTATAAGATCGTTGCCAAAAATTATAAAGCAAATAGTAACAAATATAAACCAATTTTCTTTTTGATAACTAAAAATTTTTAAAAACCAAAAAATTTCAATTCTTAATGTAATTTGAAATTTGTTCAATAAGAAAATAAAGGACTATTTCTTACTGTTGCTTCAAATAAATTGAAAGAAAAAGGAAAGAAAAATTGTTGTAAGGTTGACTGATCTATAAAATTGGCTGTTAATGCTGAATAGTTTGCCGAAAAAAATGTTGAGGAAGGTTGATGACGATTTACAGCAAACGTCAACTGTTTTGTTTATCGCACCAATTTGTTTAGATTATCCAAATTAGTAGCAGGTAAGTTTCAAACAAACTAATAATTTGTCATAAGTTATTTATTGCTTACACGCTTTAATAAAAGATAAGAGATGAAAAAACAAAAAAAAAATGTCGAAAAAAAAGTATTTTTTCTTTATTTAAACTATAGCTTATTTATTCTTATCATCGTCCTTGTTCTCGTCATAATTGCTGTTATTGTTAATTCAATATCGTACGCCTAAAGTTATCAAAAAAAAAAAAATTGGCAAATTTGATTAATGATAGAAAATGTAACTTTTAATTGTGCTTATCTAAAATCAAGAATATAAAAAGAGAAGACGAAAAGAGAAGGAAGAAAAAGTCAAAAGAATCTTACTGTTAGTGATGGCCTATTTAAGTGGTTTCGGAAACAGCTAACAGACGACAGCAGAACAATAGATAAAGCTAATTTAAAATCGGCAAACTATCATTAAAAAAAAAAGTTAGCAAACACTTAAGTTTATGTGCATTTTTCGGTCAATACTTCTCGTTTCTCTACCCCGATGAGCAGTATCTTCAAAAAAAAAGAAAAAATGCTTAACATGCGGTTAATTGACGACTGGAACATAGACAAATAAAACCATGTTTTCATCTGTTAATGCTTCTAGTCAGATGAATTCAGAAAAGCCACTTTTGTTTTTCAAACAGAATACACACCAAAACTATCATCACTATTATTAATGCCATCGTCAACAACATCATCATCAGCATCAACAACTTCATCATCAGCAGCAGTAACAGCATCGTCTTCAGTATTGTTCAAATACGATCAAATTACCGGCTATTTTTTTTCATACTTCTTCTTTTATTCTTTTTTTTTTTTTTCTGCTTTTCTGACCAAACAATGAAGTGGTTTTTAAATTGTTGCTATCGACTCTGAAAGCTCGTTATTGAATCTATTAACCGTATTGCAGCGTCTTACAATAGATTGTAGCAGCATCTGTCAAAAAAACATCAACTAAACAGCTTAAATTGTAACCTGAAACTTTGTTGACAGCTACTGCAACAAAACAGAATAGAAGAGTTGAGTTTGAAGCTGATGTAATAAAAACAAGTTACATTCTTCCAGCTAGCGTAATCTTGCAGCATAGGTGTTCACGTAAATTGAAACGACAGCAATAATAGAGAAAAAGTCTAAAAAATTTTACTAACAAAACGTGTTAAAAAGCATTTTTAAAGTAACAGTAACTTTTTTAAAGTTTTTTTTT